GGGGGTAACAGGGCCAGAGAACCCCAGGTTCCTGGCCAGACTGCGCCTGACACAGGTGAGGCAGGGTCTTCAGGGTGGCTGAGGGGAGAAGTGGGGCCAAAGGCGGGGAGGGGGGCGTCCCTGTGTCTCAAGCCCCTGCCCGGTGCTGCGTGGCAAGGCTGTTGGGACCTGAGTCACAGCTGACTGGGCCGCGCCCAGCCCTTCTGGGTGACCCAGGCCGGCATAAGGCGATGACTGGGCAGCCCTCCACATGACCGGCCAGGGTCGGCCTTAGGTATTTTGACTCAGACCTGCCACAGGCCGTGTGCACCAGGGCCATGCTCCCTTGTCCCTGTCCCCAGAAGAGTCACAGGGCAGCAGCTACCCCCCTGGACACAGTGCCTTTCCAAGCCACCACTCCCTCTCCTAGCACCCACCTCAGAACCCTGGAGCCACCTGAGCCGTCTGGTCTGCCCTCCTCCACAGGCTCTAGGGCCCGACCTGCCCAACCCCCTCCCTCCGAGACCTTCGCCCCTCCCCGAGCCCAGCCCTCAGGGACGCCCCAGGAAGCAGGGAGTGGGGCTGGCCTTGCCGAGGGCCTCCCCACTCTGGCTGTGGACTGTGACCCTTCCCTCATCGTGGAAAAGGGGCTCTGTGGACACTTCGGGTTCTGGACCTGGGGGAGGGGGGAGGCAGGGGACGGGGCTGTGAAGAAAGAAAACCAAGGAAAAGGGAAAATGAGAGAGAAAAAAATAAAAAGAATGTTGTTTGTGCACCTGCTCAGTGACAGCTTGTGGCAGCGCCGATATAGCAGTGTGTGTGTGTGTGTGTGTGTGTGTGTGTTGTCTCCCAGAAAATCTGTTACAGCCTGGGAGGTGGGCCAAGTTCACCCACTGTTCAGAGGGGAAAGTTGAGGCCCGGTTTGGGAGGTTACACAGCTTAAGGGTGGGGGGCTGGGGCTAAACTCATTTTCCTTAATTCTCAAGTACTTTCTCATCCCATGAGAAAAGGGAAACAAACCACATTAGAACCGGTGGGCAGTGAAGGTGATAAGGCCACGGAGACCGAAGACCTGGCTCTGCCACTTGCAGATAGACAATAAGTGCCAGGACCCCATCCCTGCCTTTCTCCAGCGGTATCCCTGCCCTCCAGGCCCTCTATCCTAGGGAACTTTTCACCCGTGTGTTACAGGCAGCACTGACTGAGGGACTGTGACTGTCACCCTGAAAACTTAAAAAAGAAAACCCAGCTTAGAGTTGATTCCATCAGCAGGGTCACACGAGAACTCCTCTGTTGAGCCTGTGGCAGGTTACCCACGGCTCATGGCTACTTTGTCCCTTCACATGAGCCACTGTGGGGAGCACACACTATTTGCAGGCTCATGGCATATCTCCAATCCAGGGAAAATGCATCTTATGGGGGGATCAACTCACTCTGTGGCATAAAAGCTGTTATTAGAGCCCCCACCTAGCTGCATGTCACAGCAGATGGACGTGGGAACCCCTATCTCACAGCGGTGAGTGCTGTTAGGGGGGAATGAGGGCGACAGAGAGGGGTCATTGTGACTCCAGGTGCAGACTCCAGATATGACCCTCTTCAAGCTGCCCACAGCCCAGGGAAGCTCCACGAGCCCACCTGTGTGGGGGGACTCCTGTGACCCCCCACCCCAGAGTCTGGAGATAATTTTTTTTTTTTCTGGTTAATTCTCACCGAAGGATGATTTTCCATTGATTTTTAGAGAGAGTGGAACGAAGGGATGGGGAGAGAGAGAAACATTGATGTGAGAGAGACACATGGATTGGTTGCCTCCTGCACACCCCCGACTGGGGCAGGGCATCGAACCTGAGACCCGGGTACATGCCCTTGATCAGGAATCGAACGCGTGATCCTTTGGTTCACAAGTTGATACTCTAACCACTGAGCCACACTTGCCAGGGCAAATCTGGAGATCCTTGATCTACTCCCTGGGGGGTGGGAGCTGCTCCAGCTCAAAGCCAGCTCCAGACTCCTCTCCAGGGGCTTATCCAGAGGGAGGGGCTGGCAAGGGACCCAGCCAGAGGTGGGGTACAGCCACCTTGGGCTTCCCAGTTCTTCCTCCGCAGACCAACCTCTGCGCTCTCCGTGGGCAACCGCATACCCGCCGCAGCGGCAGCTCTCCTTCCGCTCTGAGAACCTGAGTGTGCCTGGCTTTTGGTGTCTGCCACCCCCCACCCACAGCTTCCCAGCAGCCCAGCCCAAGGAAAGCCCCCCACCCCCATGCTGGGGCAGGGCACAAAAGAGGCCTCCTGCTGCTGACAGCACCTGGGCGGCACTGTCTGGGCCAGACTGCCTGGCACACTCCTCAGTGCTTTGACTTCCTCCAGGCCCTCTTCTGCCTTCCTCCTTATTGGGCTCCTACTGGGTGCAGACGCTGTGCTGGGTGCTGGGACAGAGCCAGGGATGCACCCTTGGCAGGTCCCGGCTAGTGAGGGAAGTGGGCGGTAATGCAAACACCACACTGGTGAGGACCCCTGATGGGGCAATTTTGAGAGAACAGATAACCAAGTTGCCAAACCCAGACCATGGGTGCTGGGGAAGAATTGTTGAGGATACACTCACAAAAAGAACAGGGAACAGCATTCCAGACAGATGGAACAGCGTAGGCAGAGGCTTTGTAGGAGGAGAGAGCCCTGGGCATTTTCGGCAACCCAAAGGTGACCAGTGTGGCAGGAACCCCGAGTAAAAGGGAGAGTCCAGTGGGGAGCAGTGGAGAACCCTTACTAGGTACTTGGTAAATAGCCTGTAATGCTTTGGGAAGACTGCTGGTTGGGAGTCAGAGGCTGAGAGTTCTAGCCAGAGCTCTGCACTGTGACCTTGAGCAAACTCTAATCTTTGAATGCTCGGAGCCTTTGCCCTAACTGTGCCACTTGGAGGCACCGGTATCCCTTAGGCTGAAGAGAGGAGTCACCTGTTCCAGATGCCACCCTGACCACCCACGTTACCTGATTCTCTCCCTCTCTGTTACATCACCCTGCTTTATTTTTGCGGAGCTTGTACTACGATCTTAGATGCTCCTGTTAGCACTTTTGCTTGTCTATTGTCTGTCTGCCACCTCACCTGGGAGCTCTGTGCCCTCAGGGACTCATGAAATTGACAGCAGAGTTATAGAGGCTGAGGGGTATCAGGAAGATGCCCCTGCCCTGGTATCTGGGACCTGAATTCAAAGTGTGCTCACCTGCAGTAAATTGCTCTGAGGACGTGAGCAGGTGATTTAACTCTCTGAGCCTCAGTCTTCTCATCTGTCAGGTGGATCAAATCTATTGGAGAGAGTCCTGCACAGGGCTCTCTTCCACCTGATATTAAGTCCTGTTCCCACCTTTGGCCCCAATCCCAAGAAGTAGGAATAGCCAGGGACTGATCCAGGTCAAGTTCATAGGCTTTCGTTAGCCCTTCCTTTGTGGCTTCTGCCTTAACCTATCATCCCTCAGCCTATAGGTACACCTCCTGAGGTGGGGCCTTGAGCATCAAGAGGCAGCCCAGTTTTCTGGGGAGCCAGATGGAATCCCCATCCCCCTAGGGCCCTTCAGGGAGCAGTTTCAAGCACATACCAGGCCACAGGCCACGTCCGAGGCAGGATCTATTATTATCTTGTTCATTTCATGCAACACACATCAGCACACATACCCCAGCCACACACCCACAGGGGCCAGAGCAAGCCAGACACTCCAGCCTGCATCCCTCCCCACGTGCTCCCAAACCCCGACAGCCCTAGTCCCCAATGTCTCAAGGGAGATCTGTTCAGACACAACAAACTCTTTGTCTGTGTAGAGACGCCCCCACAGTCAGACTGATGCATGAAACTTCCCTTCCTGGATAGGCAAGGAGCTCCAGTCCAGGTCTCAAGTGGTAGATGCTTGGGGCCTTGCCACCTAGGGACCCCTCTCTCCAAGAGACTAGCCTTCCCCAAATCCTCTCCCACAAGACAACAAAGAGACACAGGGTCTTTAGAAACCAGGCAAGTTTTAAATATATGTTGGCACAATATTAACATTAAATATACATCATAAATAAGCCTCATAAATTAAAAAAATTTAAAAAACGAATAAAAACTGATAAAAAAATCGATAAATTAATCATGTCCCTCCCTTCAATGGATTGGCCCAGAACCCTTCAGGACAATGGTTTCAGCATAAGAAAATTCCAAGATCCACCACCAGGGGGAGCAGTAAGCAGCCAGAACCCAAGACCAGGCTCTTCCAGGCGCTGGTAGTTCTCCTGCAAAGAATTCAGTTTGCACCCGTGTCCGTTTGCACCGCCTGTCCCGATTTATGGAAAGAATTTGAAATCTATCCTATGCCAATGAGTCTCAGCAGCTGACAAGCAGAGAGAGTTTCACATGGTCCCCAACACCTTCGATCACAACGACAAAACTGAGGTCCAGAGAGAGGTAAAGTGGTGTGCCTGAGGCTCAGTGAATTAGGGACCAAGCTGAGACCTGAGCTCCTTTCCTTGGGCCTCCCATATCAGTGCTTCTTCCAGGACACTCTGCCCCTGTCATAGCTGCCTAAAGTGAGGTCACCCAGACGTCCAGGTGTCTGGCCTGAGACTGGCGATGAGGCATAAGAGGCCAGCTCAGGCCCTGACCTCCCCCTCAGAACCATGCCACCACGGAAAGGAGGAAGTCTGGGGGCAAGAGCTCTGCAAGTCATGAGAGGGAAGGGCCGGCAGACCTCTGGGGAGCAGAGTGGGGGGTGGCGGTCAGTCTGGCCATGAGTCAGTCTGTGTCATCAGACCCCTGAATCAATGGAAAGTTGGCCCCGCGTGGCCTGACCCAGCCACCCCACTGGGACTGGGGAACTCAGGACTGGGGAGACACAATGGTCTGATCCTAGCCCCCCTCTCCATGGGGAGGTAGAGGAGCATACCGGCTCTCACCCCTTAAAGTGCACTTCTGAGAGTTGGGAAGCAGGTTTGGAGACCCTGGGGAGGCACCATCCTGAGGAGCACCTGCTGATCCTTCACCTGCTGTTGGGCCCCTAAGGCTACCGGTGAGGCTGCACCCTGGCCAAGAGTCTCTTGCCCCTCCTGGAGGGTTGCATCCTGTGAGCCCCCTTCTGCAGGGCCCGGCGGGGGCTGTGTCTCCGGCTCCTCTGGCTCGGGGTCTCCCTCCACTTTCGGAAGACCTGCCCCACTGAGTGCATGAAGCGGTGGAAGCCATGCAGGAACTGGCAGCCTTTCAACTTGGACTGAAAGGCGTCTGAGGTAGGGGTGGGTGGTGGTGAGGTCAACAGGCCGGCCTGAGTGGGTTCAGCCGTTTCCAAGGAGCCTTGCAGCAGCTGGGCCAAGCAGTGGATGTTGTTCCTGATCCCGTAGATATTCATCTTCGCCACCCCCAAGGCCTGGACTTTGGGGAGGTCCCCCTGGAAAGCGGAAAGTCTCTGTAGGACATGACCCAGCTTGGTGTTGAGGGTCCGCAGGAAGTCCCTCTTACTGAGTTTCTTCAGGTCATGCTCGCTGGGAAAGACCCCAGGGCACTCTTGGCAGCGCTCTTTCAGTCCGGACATGTGAAGGCCTTGAATGTGGATCTGGGGGGGAAAGGAGAATCAGGGGGTGAGTGCTGGAGCCCCCGCTACACACACACACACAAGTCTGCTCTGGTTAGCCTTGAAACGCTTGACTTTGTTTACCCCCCTATCCAATCTGCCCATTGTACAGACCAAGAAACCGAGGCCCAAGAGAGGAGAGGACTCTGCAGGCAGAGTCACTACAGGCAGGCTAGAGGGACGCACAGGGCCTGGTGGAGGTGACGTGATTGTGGTATGCGGAGTGTCAGTGGGAAGGTGACCGAGAGCGTCACTGCTGCCTCCCCAGGGCCTAGAACAACGCACGTGGTAGGTGTGCAGTCAGCCCGCAGGACAAGCGGAGGAATGAGGCACCGTGGCAGCAGTTCACGCTCCAGGCCCGCTGAGCCTGGGAAGCTGTATTCTCAGGGTTAGGCCTTGGATGCATGTTTGATACGGTCCTGGGATAACATAGGGACTTGGTTCCCCCACCCCCACCCCCACCCCCATATTGAGTGGGGCTAGAGCAAGTAGAGGTTGGTCCTGATCCTCTCTGGGGCTCACTCCTGCCCTAACCCCGAAGTTTTCTGAGACTCAGATGTCACCGGGGACGGGCGCTCACATAGGGGTCCAGGAGCATGCTGGTGTCCTGCATGAGGTTCGCCTGGTGCTGCAGCTGCTTGAGGAGCTGTTGGCCATCACCCGAGCAGTTGCCCATGACCACTGGGTTCAGGAACAGGAGTCTGAGGATCAGACCTGGGGCAGAGAAAGGGGGTGTCACCTGACCTGGCAAGGAAGCCACGGGTGGGTGGCTTTCAGAGGAGAGGGCACAGCCCATCATCCAGGCTTTGTGCCCTGGAGGGTGCACTGTGTGTGCACAGGAGCGCCTGCTGGCGCCACTGACACCTGTCTGGTAAGTTACTGCCCAGCACCTGAAACAGCGGCTGCGATTGATTCACCAAGTAGGCCTTCGACAGGAGGTTGCGGGGCCTGGCTGGAGCGCCTGTGCCTGCCAATCCTGCCAACCTCAGGAGCTGACATGGGGTGGACCGGGTGGGGCTGCTCTCTGAAAGCCCTCCAGGTGAAGGGACAGCTATTGCCACAGGACCCTGGCCCCTCCTGTGCAGACCTCATTTTACTGACAGGAAAACCAAGGAGCTGAAGAAGAGTTGCCCAAGTTACACCAGGTCCACCTGTCCCCCCACCTTCAGCCTTTCTCCTCTCTCTGTTAGTGGACACTCCTGTCGGGCCCACAGGGATGCTGTGAGTTTATGGGAATATTCGGGGAGGGGCGGGCACAGTTACCGCTCGCCTGCCTCCCCCATCCACCAGCAGCCACGTGGTCGGAAGGGGCCTGTGGTGCAATGGTCCGGAAGGCAGTGACACCACGTTCCCTTCCTAAGAATCATCCGGCCCCTTGGGGAAGATGCTGCTTGGGAGGGCAGAGGGGCTGGGCACTCAGGCACAGCGGTCACAGGGTATCCCTCCCCGCCTCCCCAGGTATCTGCTGCGTGTGCATGTGGGACCAGAGCGTCTGCTGAGTGTGTGTCCAGGTCTGTGTGAATCCCAAGGGATCAGTTGTGCCCCGTTCACCATGGGGCCCAGGGCTGCATGTGGGGGTTCCCAGGTTGGTGAGATTGAGGGCTCTGGATGTTGTCACATGGCTCCGTGCATGTGTCACCATGTGGGTGTGGCTATGTGTGCTGTGTGATTGTGTGGGCTCCAGGGCCCCTGGATCCTGGCTGACAGTGTCTAGTCATCCCAGACCCTGCAAATCAAGGCAAGAGGAGGCCCCTCCAGACATTGCACCATTTTTCTGCTCAGCTTCTGCAGCTTCCTCCTCTACACAGCACAACTCCTACCTCCCTCCTGCTACCCCAGCGTCTCGCCCAATCCCTCCCCTTCCCTCACTCCCTGGCTCCCTGGGAGCCACTCTACATTGCCTCCCTCTGGAAGCCCTCCTGGGACACCCACTCTCCACCCCGTGAAGATGCTGTGTTCTCAGCGGACCCCTCTCTTTGCCTGACCTCCTGGCTCTCTTTCAGTCTCAGCATCCTTCTGCCTGGTGCCTGGTCTCCCCGGCTCCCGGAGAACAGAGGGTAGCCCAGCTCCCCGCTGGCACCCGTGGTTCACAGCAAGTGGGTGCTGGTCGGAGGAAGGAAGTACTTACTGAGCAGCGTCCTCCTCATAGGCTGTGCCCACATGCTGGGTGTCCACGCTCTGGCCTGTGCCTGTTGGGGATGACACCTCCCGGCTGGGAGCCCTGCGGGCTGACAGCCACTTTATTGCCTGCCAGAGCGATTGGCCAACACCTCGTGAGGTG